TCCCAAAATTCATAACTCTTATTTTTATGTTTCTGTAGATTAGAATTCCGAAACAGGGACAGCAAATAAATTCCTACTATATTATTACGTACCAGCTCCAATGGACTGATACTGACATTCTGGAGGGCTGTCCTTCAAGATCTATCCAAGAGATTCTGCGCTGTCTGGCACAGTGTGGAGGGCACAGAGGTGGCCCTGATGCCCTGAGGTTTGTCCCTCTGCTTCAGACTAGTACAGGCTCGTAGTGGTGACATGGGCGGTGGGGCTGATTTTTCTCCTAGTTGAACTGGGGTATCTTTTGTCTACCACATTTATTAAAATTTGCCTTTTATTTCTAACATTTTAAGTATGTTTCCTTCTCTTCCGAGATCATGTACCATGTATCATGTACCAAGATCAGTTTTTAAAAATCAGAGTGGCTTTAACCAACATATTCTGAGAATTCACTGATTCAATAGTTTTTTTCCTTCTTTTAATATATAAACCAACTGTTGAACAAATTTTAAATTCCTAAAATAAATCTTTCTATATACTGGAACATAATTTTTAATATGTTCTTGAAAATGTTTGATATGTTTATCTTTGCTTTCATCTTATATAAGATATGTTTATTTTTTATATATCTGATTTAGGGGACATTTAGATGATACGTTAGACTTTTGAGTTGATACTGGAACAATTCCATATTAGACAATTTTCCTTGGCCAGTTACACCAATTTCCTTCAAAGCTTCAACTCAGAATTTAACTCAGTTAAATTTTTTTCAGTTATAATTTTTTCAATAAATCTTTATCAGATATTAGTATTACAGTTATGCCAGTGTCCTAAAATAAACTGGGGAGTTTTCTCAGTGTTTCCAGCTTTTAGAAGAGTTGAGTAAAAGTAACTCCCCAATCCCTTGAAAGTTTAAAGGAATTTGCCTGGAAAACCATCTCTTCTTATGGTTGTTTATTTTTGAAGACTGTTTCTCCTTGTTAAAAATCTTCTATAGTAACTAATCTTTCAACTATTTTTAGTGAATTTTGATGATGTCTATTTTCTATTACATACATGTTTTCAAATTTGTTGGTATAAAATTATACAGAGCATTTTTCCATTTTAAAATATTATCTGTATCTGTAAATATAAATATTTTCTCATTTCTAATATTTTATATTTTTTCCTTCTCTATTCTTGTCAGTTATGTGCTTAATTTACTTTTCTTACCAAAAAAGCCAGTTCCTGTTCCCCCCCCCCCCCCCGCCATTCTATTACTATTATGGTTTTGCAGCTTAGGTACTTATAGTATTGAGAGTCATTCTTTTTTCATCTTTTTAGCCCCTAAATAGTGCTTAATTTCAACTTTGATTTCTAAATTGACCTCATGACATTTAGAAAAACTTTAAAATATGTTTCACAATGACAACTTTAAAAAAAAATCTTTTCATTGATTATTTCTAGTTTTATTGCATGGTGGGCCAGAGAACGTGTCATTTCTCTAGTTCTGTAATATTTCTGCTACTTTTGAAATTCATTGAATTTTCCTTGTGGCTGAATCATGATCAATCCTATCATCTGGACCTGAGTCATTGAAATAAATTCTTATTTCTAATTTCACCAGTAATCCATTCTTCACAACTGATGGATTGAACTTTATAAAGTTTCTATCAATCCCCAGGAGGACTTCCTTGGTGGCTCAGTGGTAAAAAATCTACTTGCCAATGCAGGAGATGTGGGTTTGATCCCTGGGTAAGGAAGATTCCCTGGAGAAGGAAATGGCAACCCACTCCATTGTTCTTGCCTGGGAAATTCCATGGACAGAGGAGCCTGGTCAGGCTACAGTCCACAGGGACACACGACTTAATGACTAAATAACAACAACATCAATCAATTCCACGCTTGCAAGAAAACTGCAAGCTCTTTAACGAACTCATACCAACCTACCCCATGCCCTCCCTTCCCCAGCTCTCTGATCAGCCAGACTGATCTCCTTGGTCCCCATACACCTGTGCCTTTGCACCAGCTCTCCCTAGACCTGGGAAATGCCATTCTCCCAAACCCTTCACCTGACTTAATGCCCTGAAGATTCCCTTCTCCTTCAAGAGTCAGCTCTCACTTCATCTCCCCTGAGAAATCATCTGTCTGCATTCCTATGTGTTTAGCCCTATTATCAGTTCAGTTCAGTTGTGTCCAATTCTTTGCAACCCCATGGACTGTAGCATGCCAGGCTTCCCTGTCCATCACCAACTACCAGAGCGTGCCCAAAGTCATGTCCATCGAGTCGGTGATGCCATCCAACCATCTCATCCTCTATTGTCCCCTTCTCCTATTGCCATCAATCTTTCCTAGCATCAGGGTCTCTTCAAATGAGTCTGTTCTTCACATTAGGTAGTCAAAATATTGGAGTCTCAGCCTCAGCATCAGTCCCTCAAATGAATATTCAGGACTGATTTCCTTTAGGATGGACTGGTTGGAGCTCCAAGGGACTCTCAAGAGTCTTCTCTAACACCACAGTTCGAAAGCATTAATTCTTTGGAACTTAGCTTTCTTTATAGTCCGACTCTCACATCCATGCATTACTACTGGAAAAACCATAGCTTTGACTAGATGGACCTTTGTTGGCAAAGTAATATCTCTGCTTTTTAATATGTCATCTAGGTTGGTCATAGCTTTTCTTCCAAGGAGCAAGAGTCTTTTAATTTCATGGCTGCAGTCACCATCTGCAGACCAAAAAATAAAGTCTGTCACTGTTTTCATTGTTTCCCCATCTATTTGTCATGAAGTGATGGGACTGGATGCCATGATCTTAGTTTTCTGAATGTTGGGTTTTAAGTCAACTTTTTCACTCACCTCTTTCACTTTCATCAAGAGGCTCTTTAGTTCTTCTTTACTTTCTTCCATAAGGGTGGTGTCATCTGCATATCTGAGGTTACTGATATTTCTCCCAGCAATTTTGATTCCAGCTTGTGCTTCATCCAGCCCAGCATTTTGCATGATGTACTCTGTATATAAGTTTTAAAAGTAAGATAACAATATACAGTCTTGATGTACTCCTTTCCCAATTTGGAATCAGTCTGTTTTGCTGACTGTTGTTCCATGTCCAGTTCTAACTGTTCCTTCTTGACCTGCATACAGATTTCTCAAGAGGCAGGTCAGGAGGTCTGGTAT